GAGGAGGAGGAGGAGGAGGAGGAGAAGAAGAAGAAGAAGAAGAAGAAGAAGAAGAAGAAGAAGAAGGAGGAGAAGGAGGAGGAAGAAGAGGAAGAGGAAGAAGAGGAGGAGGAGGAAGAAGTAGAAGAAGAAGAAGAAGAAGAAGAAGGAAAAATGCCTAGAATTAATGAAAGCAATGTATTTCACACAAAAGAAATATAAGAAATTTTCTCAGAAGTAACCCACTACCCTCTTCTACATATCAGCCAATAATTAATAATTGTTCATATTAAAACATTTCATAATTCTACATATAATAAAATAAAAAAAAATCATAATCTTACATATAATAATCATTAATAATAATAATTTTTAACAAGAGCGTACTGAAATACATATCGACCGATAATTCTAATGATATTTACGGTAACGATAATATTTAATATAAGATAATAATATCTAATATAATATAATAATATAATGTATTAATATCTAATATTATTTACGGTGACGATAATATTCTATATAATATAATAGTATAATATAGTAATATCTAATAATGTTTACGGTAACAATAATATTTAGTATAATATAATAATATCTAATATAATATAAAAATATAATATAATAATATCTAATATAATATAAAAATATAATATAATAAAATCTAATATAATATAAAAATATAATATAATAATATCTAATATAATATAAAAATATAATATAATAAAATCTAATATAATATAAAAATATAATATAATAATATCTAATATAATATAAAAATATAATATAATAATATAAATAGCCATCTAAAGATATTTCACAAAAATATAAAAAATGAGAACTGCATTTCCCCCATTTTCTGTTCATTTTCCCCAGCGGCAATGGGTTAAGAAGGTTAAAGATCATAATAATTGTACTAAAATGATAACAGAAATATTATCAAAACTGCTGTTGCTAGTGATGATGATGATGATGATAATGATAACAGTGATGATAATACTAATAATACTAATAATAACACTATTACTAAAATAATTATGATGATGATGATGATGATGATGATGATGATGATGATGATGATGGTGATGGTGATGATGATGATGATGATGATGATGATGGTGATGATGATGGTGATGGTGATGGTGATGGTGATGGTGATGATGGTGATGGTGATGATGATGATGATGATGATGGTGATGATGATGATGATGATGATGATGGTGATGATGATGATGGTGATGGTGATGGTGATGATGATGATGATGATGATGATGATGATGGTGATGGTGATGATGATGATGATGATGATGATGGTGATGGTGATGGTGATGGTGATGATGATGATGATGGTGATGATGATGATGATGGTGATGATGATGATGATGATGATGATGATGATGGTGATGGTGATGATGATGATGATGATGATGATGATGATGATGATGGTGATGATGATGATGATGATGATGATGATGATGGTGATGATGATGATGATGATGATGATGGTGATGATGATGATGATGATGATGATGATGATGGTGATGATGATAACAATAATACAGTGGATTAAAAAAATATCACCACTGTTGCTGCAAGTGATAATGATAATAATAATAACAGTAATAATGGTGATGACAATGATAATAATAAAAATACTACTAATACTAATGATAACAATACAATGGATTAAAAAATTATTAATACTGCTGCAGCTAGTGATGATGATATTAAAAATAACAGTAGTAATAATGGTGATGAAGATGATGATGATATAATATAATATAATAATAATAATAATAATATAATAACAATGCATGCTGCGAAAAATCCCACGTCCGCACGTCTTTGACGAGTGTAAACTTGTGGAGGACAAGTAAAATGTTTACCTCGCTTGTCCGCATGGACGAGTAAAAATTTCCAGTAGATTTTTCCCTAAAATTAATGAAATCTAGCAAGGTCTAGTTCCTTTCAGTTCTATGATTATGGAGGCTGCCAGATTTGTTTACCTCTCGTCTGAAATCTCGTCTCTGTGAGATCTCGCCGGTTTGTGTGAGATTTCTAGCAGACGTTTTTCAGTGAGTTACTGAAGCGCGTAAATGTAAACATGCCACCTGAAAAAAAACGTGGTTCAACACAAAGTAACCTTTTGGGTTTTTTAGGCCCAATATTAAAAAAACAAAGACAGACAACACAAATGATAATGAAATTGAAAGCAAAACAGCAAATGATGACAGTACATGTACTGAAACTGAAACCAAAAGTAAAATATCATCAAACAAAACAGTTATTGACAGTTATTACAGTTTAAAAATGTTAAAAGAAAAATGACACAATTAATAGTTATTTATATTAGTTTCATATATCAAAGTTGATAAATTTCTTTATAATATATATATATAAATATTTCGGACAAGTGGTATTCAGAAGAGGACGAGTGGAAAGTCAGGTGTACTTGTCCTCCTGGACAAGTGAAAAAAAAAGATTTTTCACAGCCTGCAATGATAGTAAAGATAAAGATAAAGATGATGATGATGATAATATAATAATAATAATAATAATAATAATAATAATAATAATAATAATAATAATAGTAATAATAATAATAATGATAATATTAATAATAATAATAATAATAATAATAATAATAATAATAATATTAATAAAAATATTAATATGAATAATGATAATAATAATAATAATGATAATAATAATAATAATAATAAATGATGATGATATAACATAATAACAATAATAATAATAACATAATAATAATAATAGTACTATTATATATTCCCACAGGGGTTTAGCAACCACGGGGGGGGGGGGGGGGATCCCGTTTTTACCCCACGATTTTCCCGATATACTTCATGGGCCCACCCCCCACCCCCCCCTGCTATCGGGACTATCAAATCGAGATTGTCGATGGAGATGGTGATCCCATCTCCCCAACGATTCATTTGCACAAGAATCTAGAAAGGCCTACAATCGTTCGCAAGGCCTACAATCCTTCACAAGGCCTACAATCCTTCGCAAGGCCTACAATCGCTCGCAAGGCCTACAATCGCTCGCAAGGCCTACAATCGCTCGCAAGGCCTACAATCGCTCGCAAGGCCTACAATCGCTCGCAAGGCCTACAATCGCTCGCAAGGCCTACAATCGCTCGCAAGGCCTACAATCGCTCGCAAGGCCTACAATCGCTCGCAAGGCCTACAATCGCTCGCAAGGCCTACAATCGCTCGCAAGGCCTACAATCGCTCGCAAGGCCTACAATCGCTCGCAAGGCCTACAATCGCTCGCAAGGCCTACAATCGCTCGCAAGGCCTACAATCGCTCGCAAGGCCTACAATCGCTCGCAAGGCCTACAATCGCTCGCAAGGCCTACAATCGCTCGCAAGGCCTACAATCGCTCGCAAGGCCTACAATCGCTCGCAAGGCCTACAATCGCTCGCAAGGCCTACAATCGCTCGCAAGGCCTACAATCGCTCGCAAGGCCTACAATCGCTCGCAAGGCCTACAATCGCTCGCAAGGCCTACAATCGCTCGCAAGGCCTACAATCGCTCGCAAGGCCTACAATCGCTCGCAAGGCCTACAATCGCTCGCAAGGCCTACAATCGCTCGCAAGGCCTACAATCGCTCGCAAGGCCTACAATCGCTCGCAAGGCCTACAATCGCTCGCAAGGCCTACAATCGCTCGCAAGGCCTACAATCGCTCGCAAGGCCTACAATCGTTCGCAAGGCCTACAATCGTTCGCAAGGCCTACAATCGCTCGCAAGGCCTACAATCGTTCGCAAGGCCTACAATCGTTCGCAAGGCCTACAATCGTTCGCAAGGCCTACAATCCTTCGCAAGGCCTACAATCGTTCGCAAGGCCTACAATCCTTCGCAAGGCCTACAATCCTTCGCAAGGCCTACAATCGTTGAAAGCCGTGGATTCCGTGCAGGAAAAATATCAAAATCGTTTCGAAAGTAACCCACTACCCTCTTCTACAGACCTGACTGAAATTTAACCCATTGCCGCCGGGGAAAAATGAACAAAAAACGGGGGAAATGCAGTACTCATTTTTTATAATTTTGTGAAATATCCATAGATGGCTCTGCTAGTCCTGATTTCACCTTTCCTTGAATTGGCGGGAAAAAAACCTACTCTTACTAGTGCTATAAATATAGATGGTGTTATTTTTAACAGCAAATCAGAATAACGTTAAATATTTTCGCAAATCGATGAAAAGGGTGAACGGGCGAGGCAGGCGGTGCTCGTAGTTGGCTCATTGGATACTTAGTACAAGTGTAGCCATCTATGTGGAAAAACAATCGAACAAGTCGACTCACAGTGGGCATGGCATGTACGTCCATGCCATCCCCGGCGGCAATGGGTTAAAATAAAATTCATTCATTTAACTCGAAGATAGACGAAGGAAAATTATTCAGGGGGGGGGGGAGTGGAAATATCCGTCTTTAATCTAAAAAAAATATATAAAAAAGTCTATAAAAAATGGATTTGAATGATAGACGTAAAGAACTAGGATAATAATAAAAATAGTAATAATAATAGATAATAATTAATAATGATAATAAAAAGAGAGTAATAGCGATAACAATAAAAAAGGAAACAGGAAATAATGGATAAATAAGTAATAGATGATAATAATGATAATAAAAGATGATGATAATGATAAAGGATGAAAATATATAAGAATAGGAATAGAAAAAATGATGATAAATAGAATGATAAATAGAATGATGATAAATAGAAAATAACATATAACAGATAATAGAAATAATGATAATAATAAGAATAACAGTAATAAAGATGATGATAATAAAATGATGAAGAAATGTGAAAATAGGAATAATAATAATGATAATAAATAGTAATTAACAAATAGCAGATAACAGGTAATAGATGATAATGATAATAAAGATGATAATAAAGAATAAAGAATACTAATAACAATCATAACTTCCTCCCCAATAAATATAAATAAATAATAACATATTCACTCGTTAAAAAAGAAAAGAAAATAAAGAAATGAAGAAAATAGATAAAAAATAAATACTTTCCCTACAAACACACACAAACCAAGCCTTCATAGTAAATAATAGTAAAGAATTAGTATAAAATAGTAAAAAAAATGAGTAAAAAATGAAATAAATAATAACAAATTCACTCGTAAAAAGAAGAAAATAACGAAAATACATAAAAATAAATACATCGGGTCCTTTCCCCTCCACACACACACACAACCCCTTAATAGTATATAATAGTTAAAAAATAATAAAAAATGAGTAAAAAATGAAATAAATAATAACAAATTCACTCGTAAAAAAAGAAAATACGGAAAATAAATAAAGAAACTAAGGAAAACAAATACATCGGGTCCCTTCCCTGCACACACACACACACAACCCCTTAATAGTAAAAAATAGTTAAAAAATAGTAAAAAATGAGTGAAAAATGACGTAAATGATAACAAATTCACTCGTAAAAAAGAGAAAAAGGAAAATAAAGAGAAAATACGGAAAATAAATAGAGAAACTAAGGAAAACAAATACATCGGGTCCCTTTCCCTGCACACACACACAACCCCTTAATAGTAAAAAATAGTTAAAAAATAGTAAAAAATGAGTGAAAAATGAAATAAATAATAACAAATTCACTCGTAAAAAAAGAAAATAAGGAAAATAAATAAAGAAACTAAGGAAAACAAATACATCGAGTTCTTTCCCTACAAACCAAGCCTTAATAGTAAATAATAGTAAAAAAATAGTAAAAAATGAAATAAATAATAACAAATTCACTCGTAAATAAAGAAAATAAGGAAAATAAAAAGAAAATACGGAAAATAAATAGAGAAACTAAGGAAAACAAATACATCGGCCCCTTCCCTGCACACACACCACCCCTTCCCCTTCTCCCTCCTTTCCCCCCCTTCCCCTCCCCTCCCCCCCCCCGAAGCTCGTCCTCCGGGAGAGCCGAGGCCGAGGCGAGCGAAGAGGCGAGCGAGGGAGAGCCGAGAGCCTCACCATCCGCGGGGAAGTCGAGGCGAAGGCGGCGCTCGGGGGACGAGGCGGAGGGAGCAGGCGGCCATTGGAAGGGGGGGGGGGAGGAGGAGGGTTCGAGTCTGGGTGAAAAGGGGGCGAAAAGGGGGTTTTTAGGCGGGGGGGGGCTTTGGAAAAATTGTTTTGGGGTGGGATTAATTGGGAGAAAGGTTTTTGTTGGGTTTTTGTTGGGGGAGAGGGAGGGGGTTGGGGGATTCGAGTCTGGGTGAAAAGTCTGTGTGTGTGGGGGGGAGAGGCCATTGGAAGGGGGGGGGAGGGACCAGGAGGAGGAGGGTTCGAGTCTGGGTGAAAAGGGGGCGAAAAGGGGGTTATTTTATGTTTTTAGGGTTAGATTTTTTTTGGGGGGGTGGGATTAATTAATAGGATTGTTCTTGTTGGGTTTTTGTTGGGGGAGAAGGAGGGGGTTGGAGGATTCGAGTCTGGGTGAAAAGTCTGTGTGTGGGGGGGGAGAGGCGGCCATTGGAAGGGGGGGGGAGGAGGAGGGTTCGAGTCTGGGTGAAAAGGGGGGGAAAAGGGGGTTTTTAGGCGGGAGGGGGCTTTGGAAAAAATTGTTTTGGGGTGGGATTAATTGGGAGAAAGGTTTTTGTTGGGTTTTTTTATGGGGAGAGGTAGGGGGTTGGAGGATTCGAGTCTGAGTGAAAAGTCTGTGTGTGTGGGCCATTGGAAGGGGGGAGGGACCAGGAGGAGGAAGGTTCGAGTCTGGGTGAAAAAGGGGGAAAATGTTTTTTTTAGGGGGGAGGGGGCTTTTAAAAAATAATTTTGGGGTGGGATTAATTAATGAAATTGTTTTGATGTGGGTTTTTTTTTTTGCGGAGGAGGGAGGGGGTTGGAGGATTCGAGTCTGGGTGAAAAGTCTGTGTGTGTGGGCCATTGGAAGGGGGGAGGGACCAGGAGGAGGAAGGTTCGAGTCTGGGTGAAAAAGGGGGAAAATGGTTTTTTTAGGGGGGAGGGGGCTTTTAAAAAATAATTTTGGGGTGGGATTAATTAATGAAATTGTTTTGATGTGGGTTTTTTTTTTTTGCGGAGGAGGGAGGGGGTTGGAGGATTCGAGTCTGGGTGAAAAGTCTGTGTGTGGGGAAAGACGGCCATTGGAAGGGGGGGGGAGGAGCAGGAGGAGAGTTCGAGTCTGGGTGAAAATGGGGTTATTTCTTGGTTTTTAGGGGGAAGGGATTTTTTTTTTGGGGGGGGATGGGATTAATTAGAAAGAAGGTTTTTGTTGTTGTTTTTTTTTGGATTTCTGGGGGGGGGGAGAGGGAGGATTCGAGTCTGGGTGAAAAGTCTGTGTGTGGGGGAAAGACGGCCATTGGAAGGGGGGGGGGGAGGAGGAGGGATGGAGGTTGGTTTTTATTTTCAGCGGTGGGGGGGGGGATTAGTAGTGTGGGATTTTTTTTTATTTTAATTTTGGGATTGGGTGTTTTTTTTTATTATTTTGTTGTTGTTGTTTTGGAAAGGAAGAGGTGGAGGAGGATTCGAGTCTGGACGAAAGGGGAGTTTTTTTGTTTTTGTTTTTTTTTGGGGGGGGGGGTGGAATAGGAGGGGAATGTTTTTTTTATTTGTTTATTTGTTTATTTTGGGTGTTTTCGAGGTTCGAGGTTTATTCGTGTTTTTTGTTTTTGTTTTTATTTTTTTGGAAGGGAGGTAGGAAGGAGCATTCGAATCTGGGCGAAGGTTTTTTTTTTTTTTAGTGGGGGGGGGGAGGGGAAGGGAATGATGGGTGTGGATTTTTTTTTCTTGTTTTGAGGGGGGGGTTATGTGTTTTTATTATCTTGTTTGTTTGTTTGTTTGTTTTTCATTCTTTCTTTTTTAAGGGAGGCGAGAATGGGGATTCGAGTCTGGGAGAAAAAGGGTTGGGGGGGGGGGGGGGGTTGAGGAATTCTTTCAATTCATTTTTTTTTTGGGGGGGGGGGGGATTGGGTGGTTTGCTTCATATTATCTTTTTCTTCTTCTTCTTCTTCGAGTCTGGGCGAATTTTGGAGGGAAAATTGGTGAGGTTTTTCTTCTATTTAATTTTGGGAGATTTTTTGAATGTTTCATTTTTTTTTGCTTTTATATTCATATATCTTGTTTTGGGGGAATAATATATATATATATATATATATATATATATATATATATATATATACATATATATATATATATATATATATATATATATATATATATATATATATATATATAT